GGGGATCAATTTGTAGATTTTATAATTAAAATGCATTATTAGTAATTAATAATAACTAGAAAAAGAAAAATATATTTAGAATATTATTTTTGGAATAAGAAATAGAGTAATACATTGAAGTAAAATCTAATTCCATTTTGAAATTATTCTATTTTGGAGTGAAAAATAGAGTGATACATTAGAGATGTTCTAAAAGATGGTTGTTCAATATTGTAAAGAACAAAAAGAAGAGTGGGAGAATAAGGGCCAAATTAAAAGTCAAGTCGATTTCACAAATTCATTGTTAAGTCATTATCACTCTCGAATATAAAATGATTAGAGAAAGCAAAAAGAAAAAAAAGAGAATACGGGAAGGTATGAAGTAGAAGTGAAGATGCATGCGATGGTGTGTCGGAAAGGTTAAAAGAGCACATGCTCTCTCTCTAGCTTCCTTCTCTCACTTGCGTCTTGGGTAAGTATCCTCTGTACGTTCTTACTTTTTGCTTATTATGTACCCTCACAACTTCTCAGCCGTTTGATCACACTATCTTCACTTTCTGGGTCCCACTCTCTATTTTTGTATTCAATTTGTTTCTTATAGATTCATTTTACAAATTTACATACTCTATTAATATATTCTTTTAAGTGATACTCTATATTATATAGTACCTTTTTATAAAAACTGAAATATTCTATTTTCTTTTTCTCATAGTTGTTTATGTTTGCATTATTTTCTGATGAATTTCAAGCATTCTGTTCTTTAAAAAATGTATTGTTATCGATCATCTGTATAAACCAATTTCTATAGTTGTAAGCTACTTGTATTCGTAAACTAGTTTAGCGACATACAAAATTATGAAAGTGATTACATCCACTTGTCATTGATTTATATATTGGTTATATCAACATAGCTGATAATATAATTATAAAATTTCCAATTTTATGATTTCTTATTTGATATTGAAATTTTATAATTTCTTATTTGATATTCTTACAGTTTTTTTTAATGTTAATTAAGGTTTAAATAAAAAATAGTTGTCATATAAATTAATAATAACCAAATGGTTGGGGAAAAAAAAACTTGCTTTGTCTTCGGAATAAATTAATGGTAGCTAGAAGAAAATTGTTTGCCGTGAGATTCTCATAGGAAAATAGTCAAAATACTTTACCGTATTTCGGAGCTGGAAATGCATACAACTACAATAAGTAAATGATGAGCCCTTAGATAAACCATTTATGGGAATTTAATTCCTTAGAAATTAACCAATGAGAATTCGATGAATAGAATCCCAAACCACATGACAAAGGATTAATTGACTCACGCAACCCACATATTTTTCATTTATGGCTGCTTGATAAGTAAGGCTTATCTGCTTTGACAGTCTATAAGATCTTGTTAATTAATAACCTCATAGCATATTTTAAAGAACTAGCTAGGAAGTTTCGAATTCGATCTTTGATTTATAGGTTCTCTAGGCCAATTTATTGACATTAGTAATAGTTGTAACCATCTCGTCTTCAAAGAGGATGAGAATTCAGGCAATGCTGAAAAATGAAAATAAATTCTATACTAACATTTGAGTAAGGTCTTAACCTTATTTTATCATCGCTATTTCTTTTCAAGTATTCCATTAATTACATTCGATTCTATATGATCAGATTTTCTTTAACTCAAAAAGGGTTATTTCGCGCGGGGTTTTGTGTGGCTTAACTTTATCAAAAATGTAAAATTTCATGTGTAATATTTATACGTGGGATCCAATGCCTTTTATGACAAGAATTATCA